GAACCGGTGACTTTGGAGATCTTATCGGTTTTACAAAGAAAATCGTGACAGCGACTAGTTACGGTGACAAGCTACCGGATATCACTCGCTCGGTGGATGATATTTATATCCGCACGAATATTGTCTCTGAATCGGTGTTCGGTGGGAAACAATCGGATGTTCTCTTCCGCTTTTCGGTTGATAATTTGCCCCTTAGTTTTCCCTTTCATCTCGAACCGATGCAAAAGAAATATAGCAAAATAAACACGGGCACTATCAGAGACTTGCGAATATACATAACCGATTCCCTAGGAAGACCATTAGACCTTAACGGCACGGCCGTCTCACTAACACTTTTGCTAAAGTAAGCGTTTTCAAAAACATAATTATTTATATCATACACTGATATAAATAAAACAAGACTTTGTCATGGTTCGAAAAGATATAAAACTGGGTGCTGATGGCAAACCCATTTTACTAAATATTAACGACACTCACCAAGCGCATAGCGCTTCACCTCAAGAAGGTGAAGGAATTTTCGACGTTGTCAAAAATGTAGCCTCAAAAGTAGCTGCCAAGGTTACAGGTAAAGCTGCGAAAGAGCTTGCAACGAAAGCGGCGACAAAAGCGATTGAGAAGGGTGCTGAGCAAGTCGGTGATAAGATGGGTCAATTAGTTGGTGAAAAGATTTATGATAAATTTACAACACGACCGCAAGGTGACGCAAGTCGCCCACCGCAAGTCACGCCAGTAACGCAAGTCACGTCGGATGCGACAGAGAAAAACAAAGGAGATAAGCTTGTAAAGCTGCTCCAACAAGATAAATCGTGGAGAACCCAAGCGCCAACAAGTACTACTAGCAGTAAAGGTGCTAAGCGTAAAAAAGAACCTTCAGGGGTGTTTAGCGACTTTGATGAACTTTTTTTGTAATAAAAAAGTCTTGACTCTCAACAAGATCAAACATCAACAAACAACAGTAACATGTCTCAGATGAGAACCTCAAAATACGCCAAGGCGTATGAATATTACTCATACGAACTCGATACACCGCTGCAAGCAGCACCGGCCAACAACAACAATCAAGTAAAGACTGGCTATAAATTTACTGTAGACACCTCTTCAGCCTCTGAATCTGTCCCTGACTGGTACAACGCCTTCTTCGAAATAGACCTCAAGATCAACAAAGTAGCAAATGGTGCAAACTACGCTGCTACAGATGCCGCAGCTATTATCAACGGAGGTTTTAGTCTAATCGAAGATCTCAAAATCTCTTTTGATGGCACTCGGGTCCTCGATCTCCCTTCAGCCAACCACGCTGTACATATAAAGAATCTCACAGAGATGTCTGATGAGCATGCGAAGAAGGTAGGTCCTCGACAGTTTTTTTACAAGGATACGGCTACAGGAGCTACCATCCAAAAGTATACAACACTCGCTCTTGCCGGAAACGCGCAAAACATTGCACCAACTGACAATGCGAATTATAACGAAGGTTTTGCCAAACGACAAACTCTTCTCGCTACAGGTAATGTGGCAGAGAATAATATCCACCTACCGCTCAACCGTTTTGGTTTCTTTGACTCGATGGAGGAACAATTAGCACCCAATGGAAGGGTTTCTATCGAAGTTAGGCTTGAAGACGATGATAACGTCTTGTTCCGATCAAACGCGGCAGCTGCGGGGCGTTACATCATAACTAAGTTCAGATTATGGGTACCTATCATCAAATTCAACGCTCAAGGCCTCAAGAAGTACCTCGAGGAGTATCTCAAACCCCACACATGGAGCTACTTGCGTGAGGAGATCGTTGTATCTGACCCGCTTCGACAAGCAAGCGGTACATTCAGAATAACAAACGCTGTAAAACAACCAAGACACGTGTTTGTGTGGATTGTCAACGCAAACAAGTTTTCATCCCAGGAGCAGAATCCCCTTGTTTTCAACACATACAACATCGCAGATCAAAAATATCTGACAAAGGCTCAACTCAGAGTTCAGAATGGAGAGCGTTATCCAGATCAGCAACTAGACCCAAAGAGTGAGATGGTATGCGCATGGTTAACCCTGCAAGGGTACAACCTCGTTCCCAGGGCCTTTTCCCTTAGTTGGGGGTGGGGCGGGAAAAGGCCCTGGCATCGGCCGGTCAGATCAACATTTTGATTGGTTGATTGATTTAAATAATTTATGTGAACCTTGGTCATAAAATATAATTTATGCATTATTCCGAAGTCATAATGGCGGAAAGTATGCCTACACCAACAAAGATTTCTTCTAGAAATCCGGTTTGCAGACTCTGCGGTGATTCTCGCGAGAGTCGTCATATGCTTCGAATATTTAGCAAAGCTGGTTCATCAAAAGATCTGTGTGCAAAAGTCCATAAAACCTGTGGTATAACTATTTTTGAGGACGATACGAGATCAAAGATCGCATGTCGGAGTTGCGTTACATTCGTAAACAAGATGGAACAGTTTATTCAGAGAGCTCAATCCATGGACAATATGTCGTCCGATCAAAGTTCTGAATATGCTGTAAAGAGATGTGTACAACTTTCACCTTCTTCGCTTCAGCCGTCGAAACGTGTATCAAAGAATTTGCCATGCGAAAGCTCATGCGTCACCTCAGCAGATGAGCTGTCGAAGCGAATCACACCAAAAAAATCTGCAAAGCAGCTTTCCTTCTCAACTCCCCAAGTTGCGACTGTTTTAACGCCTATATCATCAGGAGATAGCTTCAAAATAACTTCTATTGATCAGGCGAAGCGAACAACATCAATTTTTGCAAAACAGCCGTCTTTCTCAACTCCCCAAGATGCTAGTGTTATTGCCACGTCTACAGGACATGATTGTGCAGCCACTTCGGTGGATCAGTCGTCGAGGCTAACAACACCAAGGTCTGAAGGGCAGCCATTTTTTTTAACTCGGCAATCTGTTCTAAGGCCTAAATCAATAGGAGATAATGATTGCACCTCATTAGAAGCTCAATCGTTATTGACTGAAAGACAGCAGAAAATGATTCTACAAGCTGTCAGTAACAGGGATGCAACTGTGTTGACGGCTATCTTGAAAGATTACTGTCCAAGTGTTGTGGACGAGTTAAAAAAGACCAGCAGTGAGGAGTTGAAAACGTCGTGTGCAAAGCTGTGCAAACGTTCGCAAGGTTCCGTTTTATATGGAAATGAATTTGAGAGCATGAACAGTTTCGATTTCAATAAAATTTGGGTCGAATTGAAGACGAACCACCCTTATCTTGTCGAGATTATGAACGCAGTGTCTGGCAAAGAGAAGTCCGTCTCAGACACAAAGCGTGAGCTTCAAGTAAAGTACAGTTTTCTGTACTCGATCCTCATGAACGAGAGATGGCACGAACTCAACCTGGTGAAACGTGTGAATACAGTTCTCATCAATGAAGGTGGATGTACCAAAAAGGTAATTCTTAGCTAAAGATATATATAACATTGGATTGTTATCCTTAATCAACTGCTTTAGTCGCACTGTAGTATTTATTATTCACCAGTGCAATCATGCATTGAATACAATCTGCATTTTATCCTCTTAATTATATAAAGCTCTGCAGAAATTTGATCCTTGTGAGGTAGTTTTGTGTTAGGTTGTGATTGTGATTCTAATTGAAAGATCCATTCAGAAATATATTGTGAGTGATAGGATAAGTATAGGTAATTGCATGACTTGTAGTGGTATTTGGCAATAATACCGCGATTAATATTTCAAAATTGACCGAAATACCACGAGCCGCGAAGCGGTGAGTGGTATTTGGATAATTTTGAAATATTACGAGCCGGTATTATTGCCAAATACCACTACAAGTCATGCTATTATTTCTTTATAACAGAAGCCGAGAAATTTTCGGAAACGCACACGAGTCCTTTATTTCGTTACGGTTGAAAAAACAAACACAGGCCAAAAGGAAAAGGCAAAGTAAAAGGTTGTCATGGTAACCTTGTTATACCATCCATTTTTATTCTGTTTTACCACTATTACGCGAAAATAGGGCCATTATCAACCAATCAAAACTCCGAAATTTCTTGGCTTATATTATAAAGTTGTGAAACAGGAGGTTACTGCATGTGCATGTGTAGTTAATTTGCTGTTAATTTCTGATTCCCTTGTAATCCCTAGCTTCAAGAACGACTGAACAAACTTGGTGTGTGCCTATCATCTGGGAGAAGGGACACCCTGCTGAAGCTCTTAGGGGGTCATTTTTCAGACAAAGTGGTTCAGCAAGTAAAGAGAGGTAGTGTGTTCCGAGGCACTGGTGACAACTGGGACCTGAAAATTTTGAAAGGGCACATGAGAAAGGAAATTCAGAATGAGGATCTACACTTATTTGCCAGTAACTTGATTGAGAACCGAATTAACTTCAATCACTTGCCTAATGACAACCCTAAAGGAAACATCAAAGATTTCCCTCGATATAATTTTTCCTTGAATGTTCCTGAATGGAAACGTTATGCAGAATGTGCCACAATTATTTTTGGTAGAATTGTTCTTGAGTTTTTTCCCAAATTTAAGTTTTTGAAATCTGTTATACCAGATCACATTCCTCATGAGTACAGCCAGCAAATGTCACAGAAGTCTACCATAGTAAGTTTGCCAATCATCAATGCAAATGAAGCAAAGTATGATGATTGTGTTCACATATTAAGAACTTATGAAAAGTGGATTGCTGAAATCTATGTTCAAGCAGGGTTGCTAGATGAACTGCCACACACTGACAATCCACTGATTCCCGACGGGCCTGCAGCATCTGGACAGACAAATGCGCACCAACCAGACACCCATGATGATGCAATGAGGGAGATGAAGATTACATTTGCAGGNCAAACGCAACAAAGAAGATCTGGTATCGTGGAAACTGCGCTCATAACAACGCGTCACAGGTAACATTTTACGTAAATGGGACGTCAGGTCATTCCACAAACGTATCACAGAGTAATAACGCAGATTTCACAGTGAACAGTTGAGACAATACAAAACTAATAGTCGTAAACGCCGGCCTGTATCTGGTCACATACATCGATGGTGTCCAGTCTCAACATCTACATAATCTCAAGTTTACCTTGAGCAATTCCTTTGTCACCACAGCAAGCGGTATATTGATGGCGTTACCCAACACACGAAAGGCTTGGGTTAATACCGCTAATACCGTTTTGTTGTATTTCCAAGCTAACACAACACTGAGCATAGCGACAGATAACAGCGCTACTCTACTTGATGGACGGGATTGGAGTCATCTGTTGATTGTGAAGCAGGATTAGGGCAAGACCTTGTCCTGTGAAAAAAAAAGCTAATTTTATTATGAGACGCTCATAATAAAATGTCTGACGCTGCCATCTTCAACTTTAATCACATCGATTACTCGATCGGTGAAGAGAAGATCGATGAACTCAAGGCTCTATACAAACACTACCACAAGAAGTGGTGGTGCTCACGCAAGATATTCACCATCTTCAAACGAAAGAGCCTTCTCTGCAAACTGGGGAGTACCACGCTCATCGTTATCGGTGGGATAGTCGGTGGAGTAACCCTAAATCCGATACCCCTCGCTACAATATCTGGCACCGGCCTCCTTCTCAAAACGTTTACAGAAGTGAAAAAGTTTGACAGAAAGATAGATATGAGCAAATTCGCTTTCACTACCTATGAGAAGATCTTGACCGATCTGAGAAGCTATCTGAGAGGAAGGGCCTTCAACAGCTCTTCGTTTCTCGATGAGGTGAAGCTTATCGATGACACCATCACAGATCTTTGCCCGATATTTCAGTCGAGTAAGGTACTCAAGCAGTATGAAAAACGCTTCGGTGAAGCTTGAACCTCTTTGAGGTTCGGTCTTTCCTTTTTCGTTTTCGAAAAAGGAAAAAAAAGACCAAAGGCCTAATTCTACAAGCTTGTTCATACTTTCAGTTTTAGATATCTTTTTATGTATTCATTATATTGTTTTTTCGAAATTTCATTTTCTCTGAGAAGTTTATCGAGAATCTCGAATATTTCGTTACAAATGTTAATAGATGTGTTACCCGCTTCTATAGCGGCTGTCAACATCTTTAATTTTTCTTTGATTTCGTCAGAGTTTGTCCACGACAAGATTGGAATGTCGTTAAAGAGCGAGTTTTTACCCAATATCTTTTCGGG